ACAACTTAATTATGCAGAACGTGTTATCACGGCAGTTGATTATATAATAAATTTCGAAGTTGTAATGGCAACATCAACTGTACAGCATATATACCTTAACAAACAATTATTAAATTTACATTGTGACAATATAGCTTGTAGGAGCAAAGTATTAAGCTGATAAGGCTATTACAACAAATAATACAAATATTATTATTACAAACACATTATTACAATAATTACAATCAAAAACAATCATAATATAATATGATTAAATAAATTAATAAAATGTTTAAGCCATTATCTCAGACAGTATAATATAAAATAGGTAATAATGGATGCAAGTGTACTTAATAGAACTCAGTGCATTTACTAAAAGCACTACATAAATAATAATTACAACATTATTAAACAAATATTATACAGAAACAAACAAATTACCATATGTTTTCAACACAAAAACAAAATATTCATTCATAGTTACAAACAATAATTAATAAAAGATAATGAAATATGCACAAACAATTAATAACTAAATATAAACAATAGAACAGAAAGTATAACACTACAGACACTACAAAAAATAGAATAACGAAATTCACAGACTAAGCACTGACTAAGTAATAGAAGTTACAGACAGACATAATGGATCAAAAAGGTAAATCATTCAGTACAAAGCAAAATTATGTTGATCAGAACTAAATAACAGAAGTCAACACAATGTGCAATTGAACTTCAATGTTAAATAAATAATAATTCTACTATGAAACAAATGCTCATACTTGGCAAATAATATTAATATGATAATATAATTAACTTAACAGTGTTTAATACAAAAATAAATAAAATACAGACAATTATCACATCATATAATGAAATAATTCATCAATTCAGACTATAGTTCATGGATAAAAGTGATGAATAACAAAAATAATACTTCAGAACGTACATAAAACAATAAATAATATATCTATATGATAATACAAATATAATTGTGATATAATTTGCAACTACAACCAAACAATATGCAGATAATAACTATATAAACAAGTATGGAGTGCATACATATAATTAAATAAAACTATTAAATTGATTCTTGTACAAACAATTAATTTGCCCTCACTACACAATTAATACAAGTGTGAACAGTATTATAACACTATGAAATACATTGGATAGATACTAATAGGTATATCTATACAATGATTCAAATAAAATAAATAAAACCAATATATAAAACGTTTTACCTAGCAAACCAATTAACAAATAAAACGTTGAACAAATACTACAATTGTACATAGCACTAGATTAACTAAAGAATGCTAGGAGACAATTATAGTAAACATAATCTGATATATCACTTATATGTGGATTGTGTTACAATACATTATTCTTTGCAAAAGAAAAAGCAAAGAACAATAGCCATAACATACACATATATATATATACAATACTACAATTGTGACAATTCACAATAACATTGTTAATGATAAATAATACAAACACATGTTAGTAATGATTTACAACAGATAACTATGTTGGCTATTAAAGAAACAATGCAACAGATTGTATAGTTACTCAGGATGCATCAGAAACAATCAATTAACAAACATAATGTTAATAAATTAATACACAGATATAAACAATAATGTAAAGCAAACGAACAAACAATACATTCATGATATAATACATACAGCAATGTACCTAGACACAT